CTAGTTGTTTTTAAAAATTCAAAATATAACATTCAAAAATATAGGCCATAAGAAGAAAGAATAGGTTAACAGGATATTGCAAATCAACACATTAAGAAAATGACAATCATAATTTATGAGAATCAAGATTTACTAGGGATGTGATTTTCATTTTAATAAGACATGTTTCATTCTATTAAGTGTGAATATCTTTGAATGATTGACTGGAGATTTATATCTCATGAAATTCTCTAATCAATTAATGGGGTCAAACACCACGAAGGCAAGAAATAAAAACGCATAAGGCAAGAAATAAAAAAGCATTCAGTACATAAATATTTCGTTCATCCCATATATGTATTCCCCCCCCCCCCCTCACCCACAAGTTAAATCAAACAACATAATAAACAGCAAATCTTCCTCTTCGACTTTTATATCAATAGACAAAAAAACTGCGACAGAAATGGCTCAAACTATGCGTATTGTAGTGGTGATTATAGAGAGAAGACTCAATAGTATTATTAGGTATAAGAGAGGTATTTATACAGAGTTGTACGTAGGGTAAATACAAGTAATAAGTAATTACAAAGAGAGCCTCTAAGTGTGACTTATTTCCTTAACACGCCCCCTCAAGATGGTGGGGCTGAAGTGACACCAATCTTGTCTCGTATGATCTGAAAGGGTGCTCGAGCCAATGGTTTCGTCAGACCATCAGCAAGTTGGTCTTTTGTCGAGACGTGAGCCACACGTAACACTGCCTTTTGAATTTGGCCGCGAACAAAGTGATAGTCAATGGCGATATGTTTCATCCTTGAATGAAAAACGGGATTGGCACACAAGTACGTTGCACCAATATTGTCACAGTAGATGGTAGGAATTGCAGGGACCGTGATGCCAAGCTCAGTCAGAAGAGAGGATATCCATTGTAGCTCAGAAGCTGTGTTGGCGACTGCGCGGTACTCAGCTTCCGTAGACGATCGCGCAACACCTTTCTGTTTCTTTGATGTCCATGATACTGGATGAGAGCCAATGTAGATGATATAGGCGTTAGTGGAAACGTAATCATCAGAGTCTCCAGCCCAATCCGCGTCAGAGAACGCGTGAAGTGTTGTTGTGCTCTGTTTCTGCAAGAAAATTCCATGAGATAATGTTCCAGATAGATATCGAAGTACACGTTTAAGAGCTTGCCAATGATCAACAGTCGGCTGATGCATAAATTGGGATAGGCGATTCACGGCATAGGAGATATCTGGTCGCGTGAGCGATAGGTACTGCAGACTGCCAACTAGCTTGCGGTATTCATGAGGGTCAGACAGAGGTGAGCCGGAGTTCAGAGTAAGCTTCGGGTGTGTAGGAAGAGGCGTCTCCACTGGTTTAGCATGCAGCATGTTGGCCTTGACAAGGAGATCTGTGATGTATTTCTTTTGCATTAAATGCATTCCTTGTTTAGTACGTATCGTCTCAATGCCTAAGAAGTAGCTGAGGTTGCCCATGTCCTTGATCGAGAAACGGTTTGCGAGGCTGGTAATGACACGCTGAATCAGTTCTGAGTCACTTCCAGTTACTAGAATATCATCCACATAAACCAAGACATAGATACATTTCCCTTGAACCTTCAAGATGAAGAGTGATGTGTCAGAGAGAGAGTTACGAAAACCGGAGGAGACAAGGAACGAACGAAGCTCAGAGTACCAAGCGCGGGGAGCCTGTTTCAAACCGTAAATAGCTTTCCTCAAACGGCATACATGTGTAGGTCTAGTGGAGTCTGTAAATCCAGGTGGTTGAGACATGAAAACTTCTTCATTTAAATGGCCTTGAAGAAAAGCAGTATTAACATCAATTTGTCTTACTGGCCAGTCATGTGTTACCGCCAAACCCAAGACAATTCTGATAGTAGTCGCCTTGATAACCGGACTGAAAGTGTCCATGTAATCAATCCCTTGCTGTTGGTGAAAGCCTTTTGCGACAATTCGTGCCTTGTATTTATCAATAGTCCCATCAGGATGATACTTTACAGTAAAGACCCAACGACAGCCGACAATATTCATAGTCTCAGTAGCTTGGACAAGATCCCAAGTGTAATTTTCCGTTGTGGATGTGAACTCAGAACTCATCGCCTTTCTCCAATGTTCATGTTTAATAGCCTGTTGCCAAGTAGAGGGAATCCAGTGAGGATCACATTGTAGAGCTGCAGTTAAGTTATACCTTGTCACTGGCTTGACGATGTTGTTGCGGGAACGTGTCGTCATGGAGTGACGTGGAGGTTCCGGTGGGGGTGGTGCAGCTTCTTGGTGATCAGACGAAGAAGACGTAGAGAGTGAGACAGAGTCATTCACTTGAGCAGGCGAGCTCGACGATTGCTGTTGTGAAGACAACGGTGACGGTGAGGAATCAGCACTAGGGAAAGGATTGCTCTGAGACACCGTTGGAGATTGTACGAGTGACCTTGGAACAGGGATGGTGGTGAAAGGGGGAGAGTAAACGGGTGATGGTGGTTCAGGAATAGGAGAGGATTGGGAGGCACTGAGTTTGGCGAAAGGGAATTGGGTCTCATTAAAGCGAACATGACGAGAGATATATATACGGCCAGTAACAGGATCAAGGCATTGGTAAGCACTTTGGGTTAAGGAGTAGCCAACAAAGATACACGGGTAAGATCTGTGTTCAAGCTTATTAGGAGCATAAGGACGTAACCATGGAAAACATAAGCAACCAAAGGTTCTAAGTTTATGGTAATTAGGTGGGATAGCAAAGAGCTTTTGGTAGGGTGAGACGTTAGACAGCACTGGCGTGGGTAATCTGTTTATAAGGAAGACAGCAGTAGCAAAGGCAAGAGGCCAATAGGTGAGAGGCATGTTCGCTGAGGACAACAAGGATAGACTTGTTTCAACAACATGTCTATGCTTTCGTTCAGACAAACCATTATGCTCAGGGGTGTGAGGAGGAGTGGTAAGATGAGTAACACCATGAGTAGAGAGAAAATGGCGAAGAGCAACAAACTCACCACCATTGTCAGTATATAGGTTTCGGAGTGTGGTTTGGAACTTGGTTTCGGCCAAGGGTTTAAATTTGATGAATATTTCTTTGACTTGGGATTTTGCTTGAAGGGGAAATAGCCAGGTATATCTAGTGAAATGGTCTACTAGAACCAAGTAGTATTTGAAATTTTGGGTAGAAGTAATAGGGGACTGCCATACATCCGAGAAAACATATTCAAGAGGGTGAGTAGAAACAATTGAGGTTTGTTGGAACGGGAGTTTGTGGGTTTTGTTTAGTAAGCAAGCATTGCAAGGAGTAACATTCGAAGTTTTATTGAAACATGGCAAAGAAAAGCTTGAAACAATTGTTTTAAGAGTAGAAAAAGAAGGATGGCCTAATCTCTGATGCCACTGAGATAAGTTTGTTTTGGTATCAGGATAGGAGACGTAAGAAGCAACAGGTTGAGGTTTGGATAGAGGCCACTCATACAAATCATCCTTCGCGTGGCCTTTGAGCAATTGGATTCCCGTTGTGAGATCCTTCACCTGAAAACAAGAAGGAAAGAATTCCACAGAGACTTGATTAGCATTGCACAATCGATATACTGAGATCAAGTTCTTGTTTACTTGCGGTACACATAATATATCTTGAAGTTTTAGCGGTCGTGAAGGAGTTAAAATTGAAGAGGAACCAGTATGTGTGATACGCAAACCTGAACCGTCGGCAATTGCAACTTCATCACCACCGTGGAATGGATGGTGGATGGCTAAGTTACTGAGATCAGAAGTGAGATGATGTGTCGCACCACTGTCGAGAAGCCATGAATTCGGATTGTAGAGGGAAGCTTGAGCTGCGTTAGCACGCGGCTGCCAGGCGGAGGAGGGAGGAAGAGACGGTTGCTGAGGTCCGTAAGAGGAGGTTCCATTCTGAAGTTGTGGGCACTTTCTCGCACTGTGGCCAAATACACTGCAAATCTGGCACTTTCCGTGATAGCCACGGTTCTGTGAGGGCTGAGAGTGAGGATTAAAAGTTTGTTGGTGATTAGGGTAACTCCCACGGTAGCCTCCACGCCGATAGTTGTTGTTGCTGCGATTATTGTTGGGAGGGCCTTTGTAGTTGGTGAAGTTGGCCGAGACTTGGACAGAGGACTCCGCAGCAGAGACCACCTGCAGTTTAGCTTCATGATTGAGCAGTTTCTCATGAATCTCAGTGAGAGACGGAAGTGTATCACGACCCTCGATTTGATCAGCGACGGTCTTGTACTCTTCAGGAAGACCAGAAAGAATATGATCAATTTGATCCTCAGCATCAAGAGCTTTCCCAAGTAGAGCGAGTTCATCGAAGCGAGTTGTAAGTCCCTGGAAGTACTCATCAAGAGACTTAGTTCCTTTCTTCCACGAACGTATTTGGTTACGGATCTGCTGAACATGTCCGCGACTAGGCTTCGCGTATGTAGCTTGGAGAATGTTCCAGATCTCAGCTGCAGTTGTTGCCGTGGAGAGAATAGGCTGCAGTGTCACAGTGATAGCTCCAAGAAGACCACTGTAAATGAGGCTGTCTTGACGTTTCCACATCGTGTGGGCAGGGTTGGGAGCAATCGATCCATCGTCAGCGGTGAGAGTAGCGGGAGGAACAACAGCAGATCCATCAATAAAACTGGCCAAGTCATAACCAGCAAGAAGAGCCTGGACCTGTCGACTCCACATAAGAAAGTTGGAGGTTGTGAGTTTTGTGACGTTTGTCATATTGATGTTGAGGAGGGTTGGAGTATTGGAGACCACAATAGTCTCATGGTGTGAGGCTGGAGTAGTGGAGCTACCAGACATGGTGTTCTCGAGAAGAAAAGAAAAGTTTTGAAAAGAGGCGGCTTAGATATCAGGCTCTGATACCATATAGAGAGAAGACTCAATAGTATTATTAGGTATAAGAGAGGTATTTATACAGAGTTGTACGTAGGGTAAATACAAGTAATAAGTAATTACAAAGAGAGCCTCTAAGTGTGACTTATTTCCTTAACAGTGATGATGATGTTTTTTGTAACAATGAAGTGTGGTAATGGGATGGATACTAAAGACCACCGTGTGTGTTTCAAAAACTGCCTAGAGAAATGCCGCATAGATGATTACGCATGTCAGTTGCAGTGTGAAACAAACTGCCCTTCCACACCACCTTCGTTCGTAGTGTACGTACTTCATATCTCTTCTTTTATAACTTTTGTATTTGATTAAAACGTTATTGAATATTAACAATGTATTGAATGGATACTACTAGTGAGACAAAAGAAGACGACCGTGTGTGTCTCAAAAACTGCGTAGAGAAGTGCCGCACAACTGATTTAGTATGTCAGTTGCAGTGTGAAACAAAGTGCCCTTCCACGCCACCGGCTCTTCTAACGTACGTACATGATATTTCTTGTTTTAAAACTTTCTTTTCGTGATTAATTAAAACTGTATTAAACAATATATTTCATATATAATGCAAAGGGATGAAGCAGTAATGGCGCCAGAACAAGGTAAAAGCGATATGTGCTACAGAGATTGTAGCAACAAATGGGGCCTTGACTCAGCTCGTATGGAACGTTGTTTGAAGACTTGCCCCACGACTGCTACTCTTTTTTAGTTCCCTTACAAATTTTTCACTTCTATTATGATTCACTTTTTTTTTCATGCGGACAATAAGATTTCATATTAATGTATTATGATGGTTTTGACCTTTTTTCATCTCCAAAAATAATTGATCGAATACTAGTCAAAAGTTTCGGTTATAATGGGTCGTCTCAAAACCCAAATGGAAGTACTTAAAATTGTACTACCCATACCATAGAACATATCTCCATCCCACGTTTAGAGTCAGTAAAATTAGGCCACCAAATATATGTATGCTATCAAGAAATCAATAAGATAACAACGCAGATGGTTAAAATACATATTGACATTGACCCGTAGTTTTTTTTGCTATGTATTATATTGTTGAGCCGGTTGTGATGGAGATAAGAAGAGTAATTGCAAGTTTATTGTATTAACAAAAGGTTTTTGTCAAAAAAATTGCAATGCAGACAAGTATTGTAACAGGAGATGGCAGGAAAAATGTGTATGATGTGATGGTATTGATGATAATGAACTGTTATCTAAAACCTTGTAATGGAACGGATACTAATGTTTCGCACACCACCGTCTCTCCTAGGGTATGTATTGCTGCCATAAACATGTCAATCGTTCCTTTTAGTGCGGTGATCTAATATTCTGTTTTCAGAAAAAAAAAAGTCCATGTACATAAATTACGTAAATACATAATCATTCTCTCTTATTATTTAACAATGCCGTTCAAGAATCGGTGATTAAGAACAGCTTCCGCCATTGGCCGTTTCCTGTGGTCAGCGTTCAACATTGCCTACCAACACAACAACACACACACACACTAAAAGAGTTTTCTCAGGCTATAGAAAGAATTATTGACTACTAAAGACGGACAAAATACCTGGAGTAATTCCCAACCAGCTCTATCTCCAAAATCCAGGAATTTTACAGCTTCGTCTAGGCGTTCATCGGCTAAACAGTACCTGTACAGAAAGTCTAGTGAGCTTTATCTCAAACACAGGCTATACCTAACAAAAATCGATTAATTGAATTCAACGGCTCTTTAACTATATAGAGAATTTTAGCTAGAAACAATTTTTAGTTATTCTGGAAATACCAAAGAGGCTTACTCTCTTACTGCCTCAATATCCAGCCGGAATGTGTTTTCCAGTAGTCTCTGCAGTTCCATCAGATTAAAGTTACGGTTAACCAAAAACTAGATATTTCAGACGCAAAAAGATGAGAGCAGATTTATATAAAGCTATTTATAGCATTCGCATGGCATTCAATAATATGGTAATCTTGCCTGAAGAGAAAGAGAATCCATTACGCCTGTTTCACAGAACGGAACAAAGGCCAAGTATGCTAAGAGAAGACCGGCTTCATATCTGCAAACAACGAAATGTGTTATATCTTTATCAACTAACACTCGCAACTTAGAGAATGAACTGCATAGCAAGTATAAGCAATACATGTCATCTGCAATCCCAAAAGCTCTTTTCTCAAAAACTGTGAAGGCGCCAGAAGCAGTTGCCCTTCGCCAAAGTTGCTCTGATAATGCACCAGAGGTCGCCCCTTCTTCCAAGCATGATGGCCTGTTAAGGTAAGCTTAGTCTATTACCAATGAGTACATAAAAAGCGCCAGCTATTCTTGTGGCCGAACGATATCAGAAAGATATTGATGGAACCTTATGTCAACAGAAAAGGCTAGATCTCGAAGCCTCGGGATTAAATAGATGGCTTCACTCTCCGCTGGTGTACTTAAGATAATTTTACCAGAAAAAAAACAATCAACTAAATTAGCGGATAGATGTGATCTAGCACTTTCAGATACTCGAAGAGAGGCATACTTGAGAACAATTGAGGAGGGTCCGAGGCTTTGGTGTAACCTATCATTGGCATGCATAAAGGCTAGACCTCTCATCGCACCTTGTAAGATCGTAATGACAAAATTTCTCCTACGTTTCATCATCACCTCTTTGTCATAAGGATTCCATGCTCCTTGAGAGCGAGCTCTTGATGTTTTTTCACTCGCAAGTCGCGCGTAATCAGCTGCACTATCTTTACCACCATCACGAAAAGCCAGCCACTACATAATGTTGAATCAATTCAACCTATAGTCCATAAGTTATGCCACATACTTGCGCAGCTTAGACTCAAACAAACATAGCTCAACACTTCAAATAGTTAAAGCCTAACCTGTTCCCCAAATTGAGTCTCAAAACCACCAACAAGTATAAGGAGGTTAGCAGGTAGGTTTTTATTGCTCTGCGTAGACAAGCAGCAGAACAAAAAGATGTTACACTATTATTAGCCGATGAAATGAAATTTGTTAAGAATCTATTTAATGCATGTCTATCTATCCAACCTGGAGAAAAGAATGTGCATTCAACTCGTTTGCGGCCATCATGTCAGCCTCAATTCCACCAGCACGCTGTCCGGGATAGACCTTTACAGAGACAAAAGTATGTGAGACAAAGGTACAAACAAAAGCAACATAAGATCCAAAATGAAGTTTTTTATGCTGTAAGGAGGTCAGAACAAAATATGCCCTGATGATGTAGACACATTTATGAAAATAGAAAATGTGCCAGAAAGAAAAAAAAAATCTTTGCAGAGAAAAGAAAGAAAATGCACCTTAAAGGTGATAGGTGTTCCTCGAAAAGGACCCTGGGATATTCTTCCTTCGTATAGCCTGCAGACAAACTGCCGTGGCTAATCCATTTTTAAATTCATCAAATATATGACCGTATAATACATCGTCTACACGAAGCCAAAAGTGCACCTGATCTTAACACCACCTTCTCCAATGTCCTGAGCTTTTAATCTCCCAATATCATCGGATGTAGCAGATTCAAAGTCATCTCCTGACCGCAACCCTGAGTAACTAGAGGTGCAAGAAAAGCAAAAGCTTAGAACACGACCCCATATATGAAACTAGACCAGAATCTAGCAAAAGCAAGATGCAAAACAAATCATAAGGTAAGTCAATGTAACAGAAAATGAAACCATATACACAGAAGAGTCAATGCGATTAAAGAAATCGAAGTTCATGAGACCTAGACCCGTCAAATAATTGCCAAAGACTTAACACATACATCTTTCTATACATTGTACTCAGATAAACAGAACATCTTCCACCTAATACCATCCATATATACAACACAAATTTTTATATCACCACACGAAGAAGCAGAAGCAACACTTAGCTAAAGAGAGAACAAACACCAAAGATCCAGTGAGGAGGTACCTAGTTTTACAATCATAAAAGAGTGAAACTAATAATCATAAGCCATCACATGCACAGAGGAGTCAAAGGAATTACAGTTCATGAGATCTAGACCCGTCAAGCTACTCACACATACACTCTTCTCAGATAAACATGCTCTATACACTTAAGTATACGGAACAAGAATATCCTCCACATATACACACTATCTGAGATTCATGAGGAGGTACCTTACCTAGTTACATTCATAAATCCGTAGCTTCCGATAAGCCTCCCTACCTCGAACGAGTCTGCGCTTGTGATCAAACTCGCCCTAACCGCATGCAGACGCCGAGACGACCGATTCCTTCCACGCGAATTCACAATCCGAGCACCGGAAGAGAATCCGCGGCCAGATTCTCGACGGATTAAAGAGAAACGCGAAACGCAGTCGCAGGAAACGCGATGAACAGCGACCGGATTCATCACTTCCAATTCGTGAATGATTCAACTTCAGTCAGTATGAGAGAGAGATAAGGGCCACGAAAAGTTTTTCTCCGTATCCTACGTGGCTTTTTTAAAATAAATAATTAAATAATATTATAACGCTTACACCGTTAGATTAAAGAACAATCTTTTACTAGACGGTTGATCATATGCCACGTGGGAAAAGTAACGAGATGCGGATAAAGCTTCTACCGAATTAAAAAGTTAAACCCGGTTTCCTTCGGTCTAGATCAAACCGAACCATGACTGCTTCCTCAAGAAGTCTTTCTCTCTCTCTCTCCCTCAGCAGCTTGAAAGATCAAAGTTGGAGTCTTTGTGAGTCTAAGAACTTTGGAAATCAATCTCAACCAATCCATCGCGTGCTTTAGTGAGTAAGCTCTTGCTTTTTTTTTTCCCTTATGGAATCGGTTCAATCAGTACCGTCTGCGAACTCAAACTCGTCGCCGGTGCCACCTTTTCTGAGCAAAACCTACGACATGGTTGATAATCCTTCGACCAATGAGGTCGTGTCTTGGAGCAAAGGGAACAACAGCTTCCTCGTGTGGAACGTGCCTGAGTTCTCTAAAGTGCTATTGCCTAAGCATTTCAAGCACAATAATTTCTCCAGCTTCGTTAGGCAGTTAAATACATATGTAAGCATACACTCTTTTCTTGTATTACTATTTGGGTTGAAAGTGAAATAAAAAAAGTGTTAGTTTTAAGCAATGTTCTAAAAATAGCTAGATTGGGTCTAATAGAGGATTATTGTTTAGGCGGGCACCTAAGCCAACTCCTAGACTAGACCCATTTTAAAAAAAATCGTTTCTTTCATATCCGATTTGCGGACACCTACACCGATTTTTAGAACACTGGTTGTAAGCAATGTTAAAGAAATGTTAAAGAGCATGATTAACCCCGGCACAACGAGTTCTTTTCTTAAGAGCATGTTGAAGAGACGCTCTTATATCTCTTAACCGAAGCTAATAACTCCAGTTAAGAGACTGGGGTTAATCATGGTGATTTTTTCGTTTTATAAGTCTCTATGTGCTCTTGTGTCCAGGGATTCAGGAAAGTTGATCCAGATAGATGGGAATTCGCAAATGAAGGATTTTTAAGAGGCCAAAAACAACTACTTAAAAGCATTGCAAGGAGAAAACCTTCACATGTGCAGCAGAATCAGCAACAAACTCAAGTTCAGAATTCATCTGTTGGTGCTTGTGTTGAAGTGGGGAAATTTGGAATAGAAGAAGAAGTAGAAAGACTCAAGCGTGACAAGAACGTTCTTATGCAAGAGCTTGTGAGGTTGAGGCAGCAGCAACAAGCTACGGAACACCAACTGCAGAATGTGGGACAGAAAGTTCAGGTTATGGAGCAGAGGCAACAGCAAACGATGTCGTTTTTAGCAAAGGCGGTTCAGAGTCCAGGTTTCTTAAACCAGTTAGTACAACAACAGAATAATAATAATGATGGCGGCAACAACAAACATATTCAGGGAAGTAATAAAAAGAGGAGACTTCCTGGAGATGAAAAGGAGGAGAGTTGTGGAGGGGATGAGGAGGCTAATGGTCTTAACCGTCAGATTGTTAAGTATCAGCCTTCTTTAAACGAAGCAGCACAAACTATGCTTAGACAGATCTTGAATAGGAGTAGCTCACCTCGGTGTGAAACAGTTTCAAACCATCCTGACAGTTTCCTGTTGGATGATGCTCCCAGTTCTAACTCAGCTCAGTCAGAAAATGAAGCAGGTTTGGTGCATCATCCTCAAGCTGGTCCAAGTCCAAGCCAAGGAGGAGTAGCAGCTGCAGGTTCTTGGAGCCCTGAATCTGAAGTAGTTGGATTCGAGACAGGTGATGGAGTGTGTTTTGATCCAATAATGGCTGCTTTAGGTGGGTCGCTGGAAATAGAAAGCGATGAAGTCTCTCCTGTAGGTGAGGGTGAGTTACTAAACGAGGTCCCTAAGCTGCCCGGAGACGACCAAGATTCATTCTGGGAACAGTTCTTTGCTGATGAAACCCCATTGATTGGTGAGAGAGACGACATTCTTTTAGGAGCAGTGGAGAATAGTGACATGGTAATGGAGCAAGAACCGAACGAGTGGAAGCAACAAGAGATGAACCATCTTACTGAACAAATGGAACTGCTTTCTTCAGAAACAGAGAGGAAATGAATGTAAGAACTTTGGAAAATTATCTGCATTGCTCTTCTGTCTTTCTTTCAGGGGATATGAACGAAGGAGAAATGTATGAGACGGTGTCTGTGATTGCTTACCTTTTAGGTTGTCTTGGAGATGCACAAAACCTGTAAAAGAACAACATTACCACTATGTTTGTGAATAATCAATCTTTGAGTAGAGATTTTGTTCTGTATTGTTTCTAATTTATGTTGCTTTTGGATAATGGATTAATACATTACGATTCAATTCGACTGAATGTGAAGGACGATGGAGTAAAAAAGAATCTGTACAAGAGATATTTCTTTAATGGGTAATTTCAAATTTGTATAGCAAGGCATGTCTGCAAGACTGCAAGAAAAGTAAAACATACTAAACTTAGCTACGGAATCTATCCAGAACAGCATCTTCCTAAGATAAAGAGCTATAAAACGAGAAGCTATCCACTTACAACACCACGCGGATACGTTAAGTATGAATCTTTAACAACAGCATACCATCTCCTCCTGAGTCAATATTTATCTCTTAAGAGAGTTAAGCTCTGATTCAAGCGAAACCACTGAACTAAGACCACACTGAATGTGTAGAATGATGGCTCAGTGAGTGTCCTCTAACATATCCAGAACTTAAATACAGCTATCATTTAGTTACGTTTTGTCTTTTAGAAGATTGGTTGGTGTATCGGATTGAAATGTTGCAGGAGTGACTTCTTTGAGTGATATAGGCACAGAAGATGGAGGTGGACGGAAATTTAATCGCATAAATTATCTATTTACCTCATGAGTGCTGCTGCTGCTTATATGGAGAGGTGGATGGAAATTTATTTGGCGGGCTGCCAGGTAATTATCAATTTAACTAATACATTTAACATAAAGCCCAATAAGATGAAGATGAGGCCCGTTTTGTATATCTTTATTTGGCGTAACGCAATCGCACACGCTGAGTGTCATAAAGACACTCTTCCCTTCTCCTCTAGACGGCATCAATCTCGAAGTGCGTTTTCTCCTGAATCTGCGTTACAAAGCCTCTCTTCCTCAGCTACGAAGATCAACAATATCGATGGCGGTTTGTTTGTTCTAACCATATTCCTCCTTCTTATAATATCTTATACGGGGAATCATACTGCCTTCCCTTTCATTCCACCATTGGCTGTGATCAAATTTGTTTCTTCAGATAGTTCCTGACGATTAGGAATTATTTACTGTCATTGTGATTATTCTACTTGTGCAGATGAGTTTGATTGTCGTTTTCTTCTGGAATCGAATTGATTTGTGTATCTATCGGTGTCGATCTGTATATGAAAACTCTAGGTTGTTTTCAGAAATCGTGAAGCTATCTATAGTGATCAGTTTCTAGGCGATTTTCCTAGGTTTGGAATATAGTGATGGAATACAGATTTTCAGGTTCCTTCCGTTGATTCTAATTAGATGATTTGATTGTGAATTTTGTTTAACGAAATTAGTTAAAGATTAGAGTGGAACAATGTTGAGATTAGCTAAGCAGCTATCTTCATTCATTTGGTGCTTTCTGGAAACAAATTATCTGATTTAGAATGTTTAGCTTTTGCTGAATCATGTTTCGTTTCTGGTTGATTTAACTGCCATTATGTTGTTGTTCTCTGCTTTTTTAATGTGAAGAGTCTAAAGATTACAGTCAACCTCTAGTCAACCCTGTCTTGATACATAGATTAATATGTGTTTACTGTAATAATACAATCTTGTGAGAATCTAGGCTTCTTTGTCATCATATGGAATCTTTGTTCGGTTAGATATACTTGGATGCAAAACGTAGCTGTTCGGCAAAAAGTTTCATCAAACACCTATTTTATTTTATTTTATTTTTCCTTAATGGTTCTGACCCCTTTAACTCTTGGTGATGGCAGATAAGATCAGTAAAAGTTAGCAATCTCTCCTTAGGAGCAACCGACCATGATATCAAAGAGTTCTTTTCTTTCTCCGGTGAAGTTGAAAGCATTGACATCCAAGGGTTAGTCATTACCTGATTGTCAGTAGCTTGTTTCTGTTATTGTTTCTGGTTTGAGATAGTGATGTGGTGAAATTAAAAGCAGTTTGAAAGGAATTAAGTTTTTTTTTCTTAGCAAATTAGATAAGATTTCTCTTAATGTTATATTTGACTCTGAGCTTCTTTTGTTTGCTTTCATGTTTTTTTAACTAGCAGTCACGAGGATAGTGCTTATGTCACATTCAAAGATCCTCAAGGAGCAGAAACCGCTGTGCTCTTATCAGTGGGTTCACTCTTATTCCCCTTGATATTCTTCCTCTTATCAAACTAAACTAGTACATATATGCTAAGTTCAATATAGCTGTTAGCTTTATTCTTCACCTTTTTATCCTCATGGAACCCATTCTGTATTTGGAGTAGAGAATTACAAGTAAACTTAGTTGTGTGTAATTTAAAATTTAACATTTGTAATTGCAGTCATCATACTAACAACTAGGTATGTTTTTCAGGGTGCAAGTATTGCCGATCAATCAGTCATCATTGAGATGGCTCCTAACTACACTCCACCTGCTGCCCCTCATGCTGTAAGATTTTCCATCTTGAGCGTATTTAATTATAGATATAAACTTTTTCGATTTATTAGGAACCAGAAATCATTTCCGTTGATGTTTGATTACTCATAAATCATTGATTATTTGTTAATAACTTGCAAAAAAATGTAAACCTCTATAGAGTTAATCTTCAACACTCTTTAGTAACAACAGAGGGTGTAACCAACAATCTCTGGAGGTTTTAATATGTGTTCATTTCCCCAGGAAACACAGAGCGGTGCCGGAGGCATGGCAGAATCAGTAGTCCAGAAAGCAGAAGATGTCGTGAGCACCATGTTGGCAAAGGGTTTCATCCTCGGCAAAGACGCGGTCGGCAAAGCAAAAGCTTTTGACGAGAAACTCGGTTTCACTTCAACCGCAACTGCAGGAGTTGCTTCCATCGACCAAAAAATCGGTCTAAGCCAAAAAATCACAGCTGGTACAAGCTTGGTGACCGAGAAGATCAAAGGAGTGGACCAAAGCTTCCAAGTCACAGAGAGGACCAAGTCTGCCTATGCGACTGCGGAACAGACGGTGAGCAGCGCGGGAACCGCCGTGATGAAAAACCGGTTTGTGTTAACCGGTGTGAGCTGGGCGGCAGGAGCGTTCAACAGAGTTGCTAAAGCTGCTGGAGAGGTTACACAGAAAACAAAAGAAAAGGTTGAAGCTGAGCAACCACCACAACCGTCACAGCAGCAACCACCAGAAGGGTATTCTCCGATTCACTGAAAAAGGTTGCGTTTTTCTTCTTATATAAAAATTTGGGAACTTGTTTTTTTTTTTTAGTGTTTTGGATGTATCATAAGACCTATGTTTGGATCTTCTCTATTCCTAGTTTGTGTTTCTTATAAGAGATTGTATTCACTATTCTCTTTCGGGTCGTTGAGGAGCAGCGTTATTCAGATCATATCCATTTTCGTTCTTACTTACCAATCTAACATACATTTTTGGTCGATGAGGTGCATGGATAGAGCTTCTTGTAGATGCATCAACGTTATTCACCCTGAAACCATCTTCTCTTGCCTTCATGTGGAGATGTTTTCAAAAGCAAAAGCTTTGACTGTGAAATGAAAAGCTTTTTGATCACTTAACTTTTACCATTATTTGCAAAGATTGAAGTTAATGAGTCTGAGCTTCTTTTGTTTGGTTTCATGTTCTAACCATTAACATAGTGTTAATGTCACATTGTAAGCTACTCAAGGAGCAGACACTGATGTGTCTATTATTATACTCCATGTAGGCGCTGAACCACCATATAAAAAGTGTTGATCCTCGAGTTAAGAAGAGTCAAACCCTAAAAAATTTCTCCCACTTCTATTTAGCGGGTCCCGCATTTCCTTTTTATTTTTGTTAAATGAGAATAATATTAAATGACACATTCCTTATTTACTTGGACGTTACTCCAATTTTCCTAAATACCTCACTGTCTTTCCATTTCTTTAGCTTCTCTACCATAAAAGTGTAGGGTTTTATAGTTTCCCGTTCTGCGTATTCACACATTCGCAGCCTCTCTCTTCCAAAGTTGTATTTATTTTGCAACCGAGAAGCTGAGAAACTCGCAGAAACATTCATCATGAGTTCCCGTAACTTCTACAATAGAGCTTTCAGCTTCTTCAAGGAGTACCGTTCTGCTTCCAAGCTTCTTGTTCTCAGTACCTTCAGGTCTCTCTCCTTTTACTTCACATATCATTCACCATTCCTCTCTTCTTCTTGCTGTATCTATATATATACATACACATCATCGTCTAACTCTTACATATATACTTTGTCTGATGTCTTTGTCTTATATAAATCTTCTGATATTATTGAGAATCAGATATTATAGTTGCCTCTTATAAAAACACAAAAAGTTTTCAGTTAGATTAGAGGTCCATTGTTTTCTTGGTAACTTTGTTCATTAGATCTTAGGGTTTAACAAATTCTTAGGGTTTTGACCTTTATCGTTTCATGTATTTGGCTTGTTCCAGTGGTGGCGGTTTACTGGTGTATTCAGACTCTGCACCATGGAGGCGTACATTAACCTCAGATGGCCAACAAGTCAAGAAGAAGAAAGTAGTGGTTCTCGGGAGTGGATGGAGCGGCTACAGCTTCCTGAGCCACCTCAACAACCCTAACTACGACGTTCAAGTTGTCTCTCCTCGCAACTTTTTCCTCTTCACACCTCTCTTGCCAAGTGTCACCAACGGCACTGTTGAAGCCCGTAGCATTGTCGAACCCATCCGTGGCCTTATGCGCAAGAAAGGGTTTGAGTACACAGAGGCAGAGTGTGTCAAGATCGATGCATCCAACAAGAAGATCCATTGCAAGTCCAAGGATGGCTCGAGTCTTAAGGGGACATCAGAGTTTGACATGGATTACGACATCTTAGTCATAGCTGTTGGAGCTAAGCCCAACACGTTCAACACTCCTGGAGTTGAGGAACATGCCCATTTCCTCAAGGAAGCTGATGATGCTCTCAAGATTCGTCACTCAGTCATCGACTGTTTTGAGAGGGCGTCTCTTCCTGATCTAACTGAAGAAGAGAGGAAAAAGATTCTTCACTTCGTTGTGGTTGGTGGAGGACCAACTGGTGTCGAGTTCTCAGCTGAGTTACATGACTTCTTGGTTGAGGATGTGGCTAAGATATACCCTAAAGTACAAGAGTTCACAAGAATCACTCTTCTTGAAGCAGGAGACCACATTCTCAACATGTAAGTTTCCCACTTTTGGCTTAGACTACTAATCATGTCTTGTAATAATGTTTGTGTTTCCTCCAGGTTTGATAAGAGGATCACTGCATTTGCTGAGGAGAAGTTCCAGAGAGACGGTATTGATTTGAAGACAAAGTCAATGGTTGTTGGAGTGACTGCTGATGAGATATCTACAAAGGAAAGGGGAACTGGTAAAGTTGTGTCTGAACCTTATGGTATGGTTGTGTGGTCAACAGGAATTGGTTCACGTCCTGTCATCAAGGACTTTATGACTCAGATTGGTCAGGTTAGATTTTTTCATAACAAGTTTTTTTGACTAATCAAATCTCTTTGTCCACCTAAACTAGATTGCTGAGTATATGTGTTACAGGGGCAGAGACGTGTCTTGGCAACTGATGAATGGCTTAGAGTGGAGGGATGTGATAGTGTCTATGCTTTAGGTGACACTGCAACCATTAACCAACGCAAAGTCATGGTAACTTTTTCAACACTTCTAAAATTTTCAAAATTGTTATAAGTGTTCAAAAAATCAGTGTAACCACCTCTAACGATTTTTTTTTAAACATTGCTTATATATGTTTTTCTTTGTGTCATGTAATAGATGATGAGTGAGTTTTTAAGAGTTTAATTGTGTTGTTACGTATTTTCAGGAAGATATAGCTGCAATATTCAGTAAAGCAGACAAGGGAGAGACAGGAACATTGAACAAGAAAGAGTTCAACGGTGTGGTGAAAGATATCTGCCAGCGCTACCCTCAGGTTGAGCTTTACTTGAAGAAGAAGAAACTGAGAAACATTGCAACCTTGCTCGAGAGTGCTAATGGTGATAACACAGAGGTCAACATAGAAACGTTTAAGCAAGCACTCTCAGAAGTGGATACTCAGATGAAGAATCTTCCAGCAACTGCACAGGTAAGAGACAGCTTCTTCTAGAGCTAGTATTGCAATCAAATGTGTAATCTCTATCGTTCTGAATCTTGATGATTATTATTAACAGGTTGCATCACAACAAGGGAAGTACCTAGCAAAGTGCTTCAACAAAATGGAGAAATGTGAGAAGAAACCAGAGGGCCCACTGAGGTTTAGAGGAGAGAGTCGACACAGGTTCCAGCCGTTTAGGTACAGACATTTTGGATCGTTTGCTCCACTTGGAGGGGAGCAGACAGCAGCTGAACTGCGGGGAGATTGGGTCTCAATTGGTCACAGCAGCCAGTGGCTGTGGTACTCTGTCTATGCTAGCAAGCTGGTGAGCTGGCGCACAAGGTCGCTTGTGGTATCTGACTGGGTTCGACGGTTTATCTTTGGACGTGACTCTAGCAGCATCTAAGGCTCTTTGCTTCTCTCTCCCCTATTTTTTGGAAGTGTTGTACGATGTCCTATTAGGCTATTATTGGTTTGTTTGTGTTTGGACTTCTTGATTATTACATTACATTCACCTTATTCTTCTTAATTACCAAGGAATATGACAAGTGGACGTCTTCTTAATTCTTGTATGTAGTTCTGCAAATTTGGTTTTCCAAAACTGCATTAAACCAAATTTTTAGTTTTCAATCAACCGAAATTTTGAAAAAACGATTCTGAAATGAACCGAATTACATTTTGGTTCGGTCAATAACAGTTTTCATTTTTTTCTGAAAATAACCGTTGTTTTTTTACTTTTTTGGTTAGTGGTATAATTTTCTTTAAAATCGTTAGATTTGGTTAGTTCATTTAAATCAATTCGATTATTTTCAGTTTTATTTTATTTTATATTTTTATAAAGAAAAAGAACACCAAACCGGAAACTAAACCATTTTCAAAACCTTACCGAGCTAAACCGAACTCAAGATCATAACCGAAGCGAAAATTGGATCCCCTGTCTGATATTCGGTTTTTGAAATTTCAGCTTTGTAAACTAAGTCTTTAACATATGAAGAAAATTAGAGGAAGAAACTAATGTCAATGTTACTCCCTCATCTAGTTGTCTCCCTATATAATACGCTTGGTGTTGTTTTTCTGATTGCGATTTTCACATTACCTGAGTCTCCAATGTTATTAGCCAATTCTCTTCAATTTTTAAATACATCATATCCGATACTTGTAATAATAACCGACCGGTAGACAAAAAAAAAGAAATAATAACCGACCAAACCGTCGACAAAAAAAAAAAAAAAACCCGACCGAACCACATGAATGCTCTCTATCTTCTTGAAATAACCAACCGATCGGAATGAGTCAAATAGCGTTTTAACCACAGTCGCAATCGCGGTAAGTGGAACGCATCGTCCTCACTTTTCCCCATGACTTTCATCTTCTTCTTCACACTTCACTCCGAAATTCGTATCGAAGAATCAGAATCTCGCAATGGTTGGAAAACATCATCACACTTCACACAGACTCAGATCCAAAACCCTAATCTTCACACTTCTCCTCTTCTCCTTCTCTCTACTCGTCATCCTCTACACCATCTCTTCCTCATCCCCACCCTCCATCTCCTACCCGAACCCAACGGAGACGTCCTTCGTCGCCTCCCTCGAGCAATTCCTAATCCACAAAGCACCGAAACTCTCCTTTAAAGACGACACGGCACGTGTCGAGAGTGATGATGATCTGAGAAAACTCGATGAGAGAGAGAATCGGTTGTTAAACGAAGACCCTAACCGGTTTCCGGTTAAGGTGTACGTGTACGAGATGCCAAAGAAGTTCACTTTTGATCTCCTCTGGTTGTTTCGCAATACTTACAAAGAGACTTCTAATGCCACTTCTAACGGTAGCCCTGTCCATCGCCTTATCGAGCAGGTTAACTATAAAATCTCATTTAAAGTCTGAAACTTTGATGATCTACAGTAGAAAGACGAAAGCTTTTTAATTATTTTGATATACTTTTGTTTCATTTGTTAGATTAAATTGATCTAAAGAGACATCTTTGATATTTGTGGTTTCATTTTTAGAGTTACCTGATTGGTTCTTTTCATTTGTGAATAATGATGCAGCATTCTGTTGATTATTGGCTCTGGGCTGATTTGATCTCTCCTGAATCCGAGAGGCGTTTGAAGAGTGTTGTGAGGGTTCATAAGCAGGAGGAAGCTGACTTTTTCTATGTTCCGTTTTTCACTACTATCAGCTTTTTCTTGTTGGAGAAGCAGCAATGCAAAGCACTCTATAGGGTGTGAGTGAGTTTCATTTATATATGTTTCTGACCTTGGAACTAGTCTTCCTTTTGTAGTTTTCATCTTCATGTGCATCTTTTTAATTCTTTTGTGAGTGTAGGAAGCTTTGAAGTGGGTTACTGATCAGCCTGCTTGGAAAAGATCTGAGGGAAGGGATCATATTTTTCCTATTCACCATCCCTGGTCTTTCAAGTCTGTTCGCAAATCTGTGAAAAATGCAATCTGGCTTTTACCAGATATGGACTCCACTGGGAACTGGTTACACTCTAGAATTTTCCTTCTTTAACTTTTTGTTAGTCATGTAGTCTGCTCTGTTAGCTATAGCGCTTGTTGATTCTGTTTGAACTTTGACCTTGTAGGTATAAGCCTGGTCAAGTCTCACTAGAGAAAGACTTGATTCTTCCTTATGTTCCTAATGTTGATAGATGTGATGCCAAATGCTTGTCAGAAAGTGCACCAAAGAGGACGACTCTTCTTTTCTTCCGAGGCCGGCTTAAGAGGAATGCTGTAAGAGTCATGCTACCTAGGCCTTAGTAATAATTTGAATACTTCATTGTATGGGGAAGCTCCCATTCCTCTGCCTTGCCTTACATATTTAGTCTCTCATGATTTGGCTACTGAATTGTTGTCTTAGGGAGGTAAAATACGCGCCAAGCTTGGTGCAGAACTAAGTGGTGTCAAGGATATAATCATCACTGAGGGGACTGCCGGAGAGGGAGGGAAATTGGCAGCTCAGAGCGGCATGCGTAGGTAAACCCTAATTGCTTCCTAACCGTTTAGTTGTGACACAGTATTTTCTAACTATGTCTGCCTCCTAGCAGATCCTTATTCTGTTTGTGTCCTGCTGGTGACACACCATCCTCGGCGAGATTGTTTGATGCCATTGTTAGTGGCTGTATACCTGTTATAGTCAGTGACGAGTTGGAACTTCCTTTTGAAGGAATACTTGATTACAAGAAGGTATATGTCAAAGGAATCAACAAACTATTACATTGGTCCTCAGTATCTTCCTGAATTTGGCTATATAAGTAGCAATGTCTGTATAGCTACTATCTTCTTCGCCCTCATTTCGGTTCATTTATTTTCCCTCTCAGGTTGCTGTGATAGTTTCTTCTAATGATGCAATACAGCCAGGGTGGCTTGTCAATCATCTGAGAAGCCTTATACCTTCCCAAGTCAAGAAATTACAGAATAGCCTTGCTCAGGTAAGTCCTAACTTTTTTTCTCATCTTCCCAAGCTCGGGTACTCAAATTAAACCTATTTAAACTTGGATTAGTGGATCTTTATATCTTCTAAGTAGTATGGTTAATTGTCATCTTTTTCCAGTACTCGCGGCATTTCGTATATTCCAGTCCTGCTCAGCCATTAGGTCCAGAGGATCTGACATGGAGAATGGTATGTACCTACTAGAGGATGATGTTGTTTACATTTACTGCAATATGAAAAATCTTAGATTGAGAAGAGCTTGATGTTCTTGTTGCAATGACAGATGGGAGGAAAGCTGGTGAACATCAAGCTTCACACGAAGAGGTCACAACGTGTTGTGGAAGGATCTAGGAGTATTTGCAGATGCGATTGCTGGAGGCCTAACTCTACTACAGCCTCCAATTCCTTGAGTCCTCTCTTGTCTTAAGAGCCATCACACGTTTTTAGTCTTGGAAGCCCCCCAGGATAATGTAGTAGACTCGAAAACAGGCTGTTGAATTTCTTGTCATGTACAGTTTCACCAGCGTTTACTATTTTATATCATGCATGCTCTCTCTTGGCAGTCCATGTTTTGAAAAAGCCCATGGTTAGCAAATGTTTTGAATCCCAACATTGTTTGATGTGTTTTTTTCTCTAAGACTTTATAGTTTGATGTTGCAATGACACAAGTGGGATTGATATGATAAAACAGAACATTGTTTTTATGTCGAATTCGCCTGAAGCCACCCAGGGAATGAACTGGTATAAAGCTGGTTGTGTACTGTATTATGGATTCAATTTGCGGATAAGATGGATATTCAATGGTCACATATTTTTCAAAATAAAAACAAATTCAGGTTTGAAAATGAAGACGTGTAGACATTACGTGTGTGTTTTGTGTTTTCCATAACTAATATTACGAGAATTATTGGCTGTTAGTATTTTACCTTCTTAAATATGAAGTGTTGACCAAAAGCTGCGTTACGTACACACGTAATTTATACCATTAGATGATAATAATATGCTTTTTTCATCGATAACAATATGCTTTAAATACCATAAAAGTCCCGGCGACCGCGTATTTTATTGCCTGTGGAAATTTTTCCCAAAATAACATCTTCATTTTTTTTCAGCTCCATCTCTTCTCTTTCAAGGTGTGCTTACACGTTTTTGAGTTCCTACGACATTCTTTTTTTTCTTTGTTAAACATTTTTCTATTTCTTCTTACTATATTGGAAATCTTCTATATCTTACCTAATCACATATTTTAAAATGATTCATTTCCTTTCTTTTATTTCAATCACTAGATAATAGACAGAAACTTTGAATCGAACATATATTCAAAAATGGGAATATATATTTTCTCAAAAAAAAAGGGAATATATATAGCAACATGAAAAAATAAACAGTTTTCACCACATGGTTTATTAATTTCAGTTTTCATAAAAACAGAACATTGTTTTTATGACCATAGTTTTTTAATTTGACAAGAAGTTAAATAAAAATAATCAGTACGAATAATTTGACAAGAAGTTAAATAGTCTTTTGTACTTTCTACCTTGTCTGAAAAACCTCAGCCCTAACTAAAACAAAAAGTCCGCTCCGTCCCACTTGTTTCTCGACTGGGTTCCACTTTCGTGTTCGCTGTCTCCGCGTCAAAAAAAAAACTTTTTTTTTTAACTCGAGTAATAAAATTGAAATCGAGCTGAGATCTTCCCTCTCGATTTCTCGTGTCTATTATACAAAAGTTTGATTTTTCTTTAATTTTTCCATTAAAGATCTTTGAACATATATATAAATATTTGATTGACTATCGTCATTACAAGTATTTTTACCAGGAGGAGTGCTTCAGTACTTGCTCACGACTAAGTCCCTCTCTTTTTCTCTTCCTTTCACAATCAATAATCTCTTCTCAATTTCTCAAATGCCTCTCATCTCAAGTTGGCTGGCACGACTTGACCGCGTTGAATCGTTCAGACAGAGTTGTTAATTACAAAGTGTTTTTATTCTGTCTGTTCTTATAACACAAAGATCTGCGTTTCTTCTGATTCTCCCTTCCCTCTGTCACGTACTCTTAGAGGTATTTGTAACTATTAATCGTGGGTTTTAATATTTATTAATTATTATCTTCCTATAAGTTCGTGGTCCGATCGTCTCTTCTTGTCTGAATGTTATCTCATCTCTCTTTCCAGTTTTGTCTCCAAGAGATATGTGTGGAATTCTCGAGATTTCCTCGGATTTGAAAGTTTGAAAACTACAAAAAGCTCTTCTTTTTTAAGGTAAAGGTGCTGCCTTTTTGTTTTTGTTGTAGTTTTAGTTTTAAATTTTCTGAAAACAATGATTATTGTGTTGCCTTTTTTTTTGCATTTGTGGAGATTATGATGAGTGTTGTTGTTAAATTAAATCATAAGATCCATGAAATTGATCTGTTTTCTTGTAATGAAAATTAAGGTTTCTAAGACTTCTACTAGTTTATGATCATTAGACTAAGCATATGTTTTTTCTGTTACTACAGGGATCTGCCAAGAAATGGCATCCAATAATCATTTCAGCAAAATTCCATCAAACCTATCAAACAACTCTGATGCCACAGATCCATCAAGACCATTTAACCCCAACACAGTCACATTTGCTAGAAGAACCAACTCCGGACGCTATGTCAACTACTCCAGAGACGACCTCGACAGCGAAATCGGAAGTGTTGACTTCACAAACTACACAGTCCACATGCCTCCTACACCAGATAACCAGACAATGGACCCTTCCATCTCCCAAAAAGTGGAAGAGCAATACGTCTCTAGCTCCATGTTCACGGGAGGATTCAACAGCGCCACCAAGGCTCACCTTATGGACAAAGTGATTGAGAGAGAAGCTAACCATCCTCAGATGGCTGGTGCTAAAGGATCATCTTGTGCCATCCCTGGCTGTGATGCTAAAGTTATGACTGATGGGAGAGGTCAAGATCTTCTCCCATGTGAATGTGACTTTAAAATCTGTAGAGACTGTTTCGTAGATGCGGTTAAGACAGGTGGTAGGATTTGTCCCGGGTGTAAAGAGCCGTACAAGAACACTGATTTGACTGACCAGGGTGATCAGCAGAGGCTTCAGGGGAGTGATGGTAACGGGTCGAAGATGGAGAGGAGACTGTCGTTGATGAAGTCTAATAACAAGTCAGCTTTGGTGAGGAGTCAAACAGGTGATTTTGATCAGAACCAGTGGCTGTTTGAGACTAGTGGGACTTATGGTTATGGGAATGCGTTTTGGACAAAGGATGGGAACTTTGGGAGTGGTAAGGATGGTGATGGTGAAGGTATGGAGACTCAAGATTTGATGAGTAAGCCTTGGAGACCACTTACTAGGAAGCTCAAGATTCCTGCTGCTGTTCTTAGTCCATACAGGTAAAGAGACAAAAGTGTTTAGATCTTTATTCTGAATCCAGTTTTGTAATATCTTAATAGAGTTTGTCATTGTTTTAGAGGTTCACAGTTTGAATGACCGATGAGACGAAACTAATATTACATATTATGGTTTAAAAAATCTTAATGAAAATGTTTTTTTTTTCTTTTCTTGCAGGCTATTGATATTGATCCGTGTGGTTGTTCTTGCACTGTTCTTATCTTGGAGGATTAAACATCAAAACCAAGATGCTATATGGTTATGGGGAATGTCTGTGGTTTGTGAGCTTTGGTTCGCTTTCTCTTGGCTTCTTGATCAGCTCCCTAAGCTAAGTCCGGTTAACCGTTCCACTGATCTCCAAGTTCTGAAAGAGAAGTTCGAAACACCAACACCGAGCAACCCAACAGGAAAGTCCGACCTTCCTGGTCTCGATGTGTTTGTCTCCACTGCAGATCCGGAGAAAGAACCTCCACTAGTCACTTCCAACACCATTTTATCGATTCTAGCTGCAGACTATCCTGTTGAGAAGCTTGCTTGCTACGTATCTGATGATGGAGGTGCGCTTCTAACGTTTGAAGCCATGGCTGAAGCTGCTAGCTTTGCAAACATTTGGGTGCCTTTTTGTCGTAAACATGTCATCGAGCCGAGGAATCCAGACTCCTACTTCAGCTTGAAGAGAGATCCGTACAAGAACAAAGTGAAGTCTGACTTTGTCAAGGATAGGAGAAGGGTTAAGCGTGAGTATGATGAGTTTAAAGTCAGGATTAACAGCTTGCCTGATTCAATCAGGAGACGTTCTGATGCTTATCACGCTAGAGAAGAGATCAAAGCCATGAAGATGCAGAGACAGAATAGAGACGATGAGCTTTTGGAGCCTGTGAAGATTAAGAAAGCTACATGGATGGCTGATGGTACTCACTGGCCTGGAACTTGGTTGACTTCTGCTAGTGACCACGCTAAAGGCGACCACGCTGGTATCATTCAGGTAATAGAGTTGATTCCTAAACCTTTTTTTAATTTTCTTGGACGTCAAGTTTCAGACTAGGCATGAACATATAAAACCAGAGAACCTAAAAACCGAACCTAAAACCAAACCGATGTTCGCAATAACCGAGCATTTCTATATCTCGGAAACCAAAAACCGAAATCAAATAAGTACCGGAATATATAACAATAGCTTATATACCTAATAATATTGATTATATTTAGTTTTAGAATTAACAAATATTTTTTTTAAGAATTGCTTATAAACCTAACAACCCAAAAACCGAATTATCCAAATATTTTAAAATTATCTAAATTATCCGAATTACTTAAATAATTTTATCTAAATATTTAAATTTATCTGAAGTAACTGATATTTAATAAAAAGTCAAAAAACTGACTTTTTTACATGAATTATCCAAAATTACCTGAAAAACCAGACCAAAATGGAACCTAAATTTTATTGAATATTAGCTGATTTCTAACATTTTATCTGAACCAAACTGAAACCAAATCGAATTTCGTAAATAACCGAAAGGTTCCTATATTTCTAGAACCAAAAAAAAAAAACCTGAACCGAAAACAGAATGGACATTCTATATCAGACAGTGGATCACATCTCATTTTTTGTTTCAAATGATGTCAGGTGATGTTAAAGCCACCTAGTGATGAGCCACTACATGGAGACTCCGAAAGCTTTATGGATCTAACCGACGTGGACATTCGCCTCCCACTTCTCGTCTACGTTTCACGTGAGAAACGTCCTGGTTACGATCACAACAAGAAAGCAGGAGCCATGAACGCACTAGTCAGAGCATCTGCCATCATGTCAAACGGAGCATTCATACTCAATCTCGACTGTGACCATTACATATACAACTCAGAGGCAATGCGAGAAGGCATGTGCTTCATGATGGACCGTGGAGGCGACCGTCTTTGCTACGTTCAGTTCCCGCAACGTTTCGAAGGTATCGACCCTTCTGATCGTTACGCTAACCACAACACTGTCTTCTTTGACGTCAACATGAGAGCTCTTGATGGACTTATGGGTCCGGTTTACGTCGGAACCGGTTGTCTCTTCAGGAGAATAGCTCTTTACGGGTTTGACCCGCCTCGGTCTAGAGAACGTTCCTCTGGCTGTTGCGGTTGTTGTTTCCCTCGTGGCAAAAAGAATAAAAAGAATCATATCCCTGAAGAGAACAGAGCTTTGAGGATGGGTGAGTATGATGACGAGGAGATGAGTCTTTCTTTAGTTCCCAAGAAGTTTGGTAACTCAACGTTCCTTATAGACTCTATACCCGTTGCTGAGTTCCAAGGCAGGCCTTTGGCGGATCACCCGTCTGTTAAAAACGGGCGCCCGCCCGGTGCGCTAACCATCCCACGTGAGCTACTTGATGCGTCAACAGTAGCGGAAGCTATCGCTGTTATCTCGTGTTGGTACGAGGATAAAACCGAGTGGGGGTCGCGTATAGGTTGGATCTACGGTTCGGTTACTGAAGACGTTGTGACGGGCTATAGGATGCATAACCGTGGGTGGAAGTCAGTTTACTGCGTGACGAAACGTGATGCCTTTAGAGGCACGGCACCTATTAACTTGACTGATAGGTTACATCAGGTGCTTCGTTGGGCTACTGGCTCCGTTGAGATCTTCTTTTCGCGTAACAACGCGCTTCTCGCTAGCCCGAAGATGAAGATTCTTCAGAGGATAGCTTACTTAAACGTTGGTATCTACCCGTTCACATCGATCTTTTTGATTGTGTACTGTTTTCTCCCTGCTCTGTCTCTCTTCTCTGGTCAGTTCATTGTCCAGACGCTTAACGTGACGTTCTTGGTCTACCTTCTCATCATCTCCATCACTCTCTGCTTACTCGCCTTGCTGGAGATCAAATGGTCAGGGATCTCGTTGGAAGAGTGGTGGAGGAACGAGCAGTTTTGGCTCATTGGAGGAACAAGCGCACATCTAGCAGCGGTTCTTCAAGGCTTGCTCAAGGTCATAGCTGGAGTTGAGATCTCTTTCACGCTTACTACAAAGTCTGGTGGTGATGATGTTGACGATGAGTTTGCGGATTTGTATATGGTGAAATGGACTTCGCTTATGATCCCACCTATAACGATCATGATGGTGAATTTGATTGCGATTGCGGTTGGGTTTAGCAGGACGATTTATGCGGTGGTTCCTCAGTGGAGTAAGTTGATAGGTGGAGTGTTCTTTAGCTTCTGGGTGTTGGCTCATCTTTATCCTTTTGCTAAAGGGTTGATGGGGAGAAGGGGGAGGACGCCGACGATTGTATATGTATGGTCTGGTCTTGTGGCTATTACGATATCTCTTCTTTGGGTTGCTATTAATCCACCGGCTGGTAATACTGAGATTGGAGGGTCTTTCAGTTTTCCATGATAGGTTTTTGGTTGGTTTGTTTGAGTGCATCTCAAGAAACATAAACTCATTGGGTCGTTTTATTTTTAAGTTTTATAAAACTCACATTCGTTTATTATATTTTTTTGTTATTTCTGTCTGATGATGGGACAGAGATCGGCTAAATATAGTTTGAACGAGACGAGTGAATGTACTTATTACTACTTTAGTTTCTGTCCTTGTCTTTATTTTTCTGGTTCTCTCGTTGTAAGCATTTATAACATATGTTTTTTCCCTATTTAGCAATAATGTATTCTCGATTGAATCTAAACAATCCATGCAAATAGATCTCACAAGAAATTTCTTCAAAACTAACCAATTTCGAAAATGTTGTCACTTGTTAGTGATATTGGATTTAACAAAATGCCTCTATAAGTCTAGTTCTTCTTCTATTTATTTCAAATACTAAATAAAATTTACATCCAAATTTGTAAACAAACAAAAATTATAATAGTGTCATACATTTGTTATTTATGTTTTAAGTATATTTCAAATACTTCTACAAAAAAAATTTGATAGTTCTTTTTTTTCCTGAAACTAGTCATGTAATTTGATAGTTCTTTTTTTTATAATCACACATCGTATTAGTTGAACAAACTCTCTACAAAATCGCTCACCATGCAGTTACCATGATCAGTCAATTTGGTGGAAAACAACACACGCATGTCCAAAGCTAATTAAACCTTTTAAATCGCTTAACAAACCTTATCGGATAACTAAGAGAGATTATATCTGAGTGTCCCATCAACCCATTCACCAAAGAAGCCCCCAAAAAGGAACAAAAATGATATTAGAAGACATGAGAGCTATTCAAACTCATGTGCTAATCTTCTTCATCTTAGTCATAATCGCAACAACGTCAACAAGAGCCCAAGAGATCAGTCCTCATCATCATCAAAACAACCATGACCTCTCCATCGCAATAGAAGAAATGGAGAAAGCAAACTACTTCTCATTCGTGATGCTCATCAACATGTTACACTCCACAAACCCTAGACTCTTATCCAATATCACATTCTTGATGCCAAAGGACAAAACCCTTTCAAGATCAAACATTATCCAACAAGATTCCGTCTCCGAGTTCTTGCTTCGCCACTCGATCCCTTCTCCTCTTCTCTTCGAGCATCTCAATCTCATCCCCAACGGCTCCATTGTTCCATCCTCTTTACCACATTACACAATCAAGATCACAAACGGTGGAAGATTAAACTACTTTGTCAACAACGTCAAGATCATAAGCCGCAACATTTGTAGCTTAGGTTCTATCAAATGCCATGGCATCGACGGTATATTACCATCTCCAAGTGCTGTCAACGATGATTCTCCTCGTGGAAATCACACTTCACCGTTCATTTCTTGCCCTAGTAGTCATGACAACAATAGTGAGCACGATAGTCCTCATAACATTAGTAGTGATCACAATAGTTCTCGTCCTGATGATCATAATCATGCTCATATTGCTCCTCCTCCGACCAGTAGTACAACTCTTGTGCCAAAATCAGATTCTTCTACGATTCGTGAGGAGTATACGCCAGGTTTTGTGCTTCTTCTCGGATTACTATCGGGCGTGATGGGAATAGGAATGGCCATGTAAAGTTTAACTTCTCGGACTGCTCGGATAACACCTACTAATGTGTAATAGTATTCACTTGTTATAGCTTTATTTATATTATGTATGTAACAACAAGAAAACTATGAACCTTTATACATTAAGCCAATTCAAATATGGTTTGTTAAATCTAAAAATTTCCCTTAAATTATATATTTTTTCTTTAAAATGAATGGTATATATATTTGATTCAATTTTATGACCGACTAAAAAATATATATTCTGTCCGAAATTGATATAGAATAAATAGTTGCAAGAGAGATTAAAAAAAAAAAATAGGCCTAAAAGTTGTTCACCAATTTATAAAATAATTTTTTTTTATATTAGAGTACTAATGCAGAAAGTAAAGTGTTATAGTATTCACTTATTAAAATAAAATATCTACTTTGGTGTTATATATATATATATATATATATATATATAATTACTAATATTATTTCAAAAGTAGATTATAAATATTATATTTTATAAATTTAGGAATTTATGCATAAATTTATATAAAATAAATTACAAAACGATATTTTTTTTAGTTTTTGTAAGAAAGTTAGAACAAAATGACAATATATTCATCAAATATAGTGATAAAATTTTGTTTTTTGTTCTTGTTTTTGTCAAACTAGTGATAAAAATTTTGTTAAAAAGGCCGTTCCGACAAAATGGATATCGACATAAATGGACCGAACGAGTTGATTTGTCGGGTCAAATATCCAGATAACGGGTAAACCCGACCCAAAATCTAAACCCTACCAAAACCCTCAGGGGAATCTCTCTGCCTCCGTTTCTATGGCTACTGTGAAAATTCTTGTTGATCAAGTCAATTTACTTCCTCATAAAATCTTCTTGAATCAGTAAGAAGTCTCCTTTTAATCCATTGAAGGATTTTTTAAAAAGATGGCTCAGAAATGTGCGATTGGTTTGATCTCAGCTGTAGCAGCTTCCGCTTCTCTCTCGAAATCGAATATGGCTTCTGCTGCTGCAGATGGACCTCTCACCTTCTCCGGCTTCTCCACTTCTCCGCCTCCTCAGCAGCAGCAGGGATCTGGGAAAGAATCTGGCGAAGAAGAATCTGATGCTCCTCGACGGATTCGGAACGATAATCCGAGAACGGGTTCCGATGGATTCGATCCTGAGGCTTTGGAGCGAGGCGCAAAGACTGTGAAAGGAATTAACAACTCTGCTCATGCCAAAAAGGTTTGACTTTTATTTGTGTCTGTTGTTTTTACAATTGAGATTGTTAATAATCTCAATTGTAAGGATGAGAAGTTTGGTTTTTGCATTATGAAGCTAATGGAAAGATAAGGTTTTGAATTAGAAATTTTGTTATGATTGGCCTCACGATTGATGAATGTTTGGTTTCTGATAGGTATTTGAAAGGATTAAGACAGAAGAGGAGACGAGGCAAGCTGAGTTTGCTGCAAAGGCAAAAGAGTTTAAAGCTCTCCAGGCACAAGCTGAAGCTGTGAGATTGATCAACTTACTCTTAAACCTCATTCTCCATATGTTATTTGATTACATTGTGTAGTACCGTGCGCGTTCAGGAGACGTTGTTTTTCTGCGTCTGGTTGCTTGTATATATTGTCTTATTACAACTCTCTGGTTAACCTAATTGGTGAATGCAGTTACGGTGTAACTATATCATTTACTGCTTGCATCTCTCATTATTTGATTTTTGAAGCTTCTACGTTGCAAGATTAAACTTACTCTTGAGCTTATTGTGTCCATATGTTATTTGATTACTCTGGAGAGACGTTTCTTTTTTGCGTTGGGTTGCTTATATAATATGTTCTTACAAATCTTTGGTTAGCTACTGGAATTGACTATGCAACTGCAGTGTATTTGCATCAGTTGTTTAGTTTTTTTTTTATTCGACTTTTTGAAGCTTCTTGGTTGTAAGATTGCGTACCTGACATTTGTTCATTTTAACCAGGAAAGGCAAAGGGTGGTATACGAGGAACAGAAGAAACTTTCTCAACACCAAGCACAAACTAAAGCACAGATGGCTCGCTATGAAGATGAATTAGCAAGAAAAAGGATGCAGGCATGCGTTTCTACTAATACCTTTTTTTTTTTAAACTTAACCTTTTACATTCATTTTAACAAGTTAGGCTTTGTTACAGGCTGAGAATGAAGCACAGAGAACAAGAAATCAAGAGCTTGTGAGGATGCAAGAAGAATCAGAAATTAGGCGGGAGGGAGCTCGACGAGCTACTGAGGAAGAGATTCAAGCACAGAGACGACAAACGGAGAGGGAGAAAGCTGAGATTGAACGTGAGACAATCAGGGTCAAAGCCATGGCTGAAGCTGAAGGGAGGGCTCGTGAGTCCAAGCTTTCTGAAGACGTCAACAGGAGAATGCTTGTTGATCGTGCAAATGCAGAAAGAGAAAAATGGGTTTCTGCCATAAATACTACATTCGATCACATTGGAGGTCTGACACAGTATCTCTCTATCTTTTTAATTCATTCGCTTCTCTATGGCAGTTTTACTATAGCAGTAATAAGAGTCTCATTAGTAACTTGTGTGAGTATAATAGGCTTGTGTCCTTCTCCAGATAAAGTAGGTTTTCCACTTCTTTTAGGCTAATATTTGGGTGTCTTAATCAAATACATGTTTGACTGACTCGTTTTCCTTCTCCTAGGGGGCTTGCGTATGATTCTAACTGATCAGAATAAGCTGATTGTTGCTGTTGGAGGTATCACTGCTCTTGCAGCTGGGATCTACACAACCAGGTAAAGGCTAAAAATGGTTGGAAAAAGGCCAGTCATGAGTTCTTGGTTGTTGGTTTTTGAGGGACTTTGTCAGCTGATAAATTGCTTGTTGCAGAGAAGGTGCCAAGGTTATCTGGAGCTATGTGGATAGAGTCTTAGGGCAACCTTCTCTAATTAGAGAATCATCGAGAGGAAAGTACCCTTGGTCTGGTTCGGTTTCTCGTGCATTGGCCACGTTGAAGGGTGGTGGTAAGGAATCTGCATCGACAAATGGAAAAGGGTTTGGTGATGTTATTTTGCATCCTTCTCTTCAGAAGAGAATCGAACAGTTAGCTAGTGCAACTGCCAACACAAAATCCCACCAAGCACCTTTTCGAAATATGCTTTTCTACGGTCCTCCAGGAACCGGGAAGACAATGGCTGCCCGTGAGCTGGCTCGTAAATCTGTATGTATTCTCTTTACTTCTTATGCTTATTATAATTGTTATATCTGTTATGAAGAATAACTGGACCGGAGCCTTAAACTTAGATCTTAGTTTTTGGTTGCTCATGTGCGTAATTATACTTCAGAATCTCACTCTCATCCTTTGATTTGTTACTACCATTCAGGGTCTGGATTATGCATTGATGACAGGTGGAGATGTTGCTCCACTTGGAGCTCAGGCTGTTACAAAGATACACCAACTGTTTGACTGGTCCAAAAAATCTAAGAGGGGTTTGTTGCTCTTCATCGATGAAGCCGATGCATTCCTGTGCGAGTAAGTTGAGCTGATGATGATAATCTTAGGGGTTTTAGTTTTCTTAATGTGCTAATCTGATTGCAAAAATTGACAGGCGGAACAAAACATACATGAGTGAAGCCCAAAGGAGTGCACTAAACGCACTCCTCTTCCGCACAGGTGATCAGTCCAAAGACATAGTCCTAGCGCTAGCCACAAACCGACCTGGCGATCTAGACTCAGCAGTGGCTGACCGTGTTGATGAGACTCTTGAGTTCCCCTTGCCAGGAGAAGAAGAGCGCTTCAAGCTTCTAAACCTCTACCTGGACAAGTACATTACCAAGACTAATCTTAAAAAGCCTGGTTTGCTCCAAAGCCTTTTCAAGAAAGACCAGCTGAAGATTGAGGTAAAAGGCATCACAGAGGATCTCCTGAAAGAAGCGGCCGCGAAAACAAAAGGTTTTTCAGGTAGAGAGATAGCTAAGTTGATGGCGAGCGTTCAAGCGGCTGTATATGGAAGCGCGGAGTGCTTGTTGGACGCAAACCTTTTCAGAGAGGTGATTGATTACAAAGTCGCTGAGCATCAACAGAGAAAGAAACTAGCAGGAACTGATACAGGTAACAAGAAATGAAATATCATTTAAAACTTGTCATCAACATAGTATCATCTGCAGGTTGTAGATTTGAACAACACTCAAACTCAAAACCCTGAGCATTATTTTTGAAAGGGTTTAGGCAAAGAAAAAAAAAAGCTTTTGATTTTCCAAAATTGTTTCTCCATATGATTCTATGGTTATTAGTCATTTCAATCTTGAGTAGACCCTAGCATAACTCTTTGGCAATTGTGTTTTCTTTATATTGTTGAAGAAACACAGTTTTGTTTATTTATAAAGATAAAGATAGATTAAGACCCTCACTTGTTTTATAACTAACAGTGATTTGCTTAGTTGCAAGACATTATTCTATAGTATTATAGAGTTTAGGCAAGAAAACAAGACCGTGTACTAGTTCAACAGTTTGCTGCTTATCTCAGTCAAGGGTCACGAGATACCACGACAAGCTGTTTCCCAACGTTCTTACCATGAAACAGTCCAACGAGCGCAGCAGGAGCACTCTCGAGCCCATCAGCAACATCTTCCACATACGTTATCTTCCCTTGTCTTATATAGGGAAGCACAAACTCCAAGAACTCCGAGTATTTGTGCAAGTAATCGATGGTGTTAAACCCTTGAATACGTATACGTTTGTAGGTAATGAGCCAGAGGTTGTATACTGCTTCAGGAATCTGCAGGTTGTACTGTGAGATCATCCCACAGGCTGCGATACGGCCGTGTGGTCTCATGTTTAGGATCACTGCGTCAAGCATTTTGCCTCCCACGTTCTCGAAGTATATGTCAATGCCTACAGGGAAACACCTTTTTAAGGCAGCGTTGAGGTCAGTTTCTTCCTTGTAGTTGAATGCTTCATCGAATCCAAACTTGTTCTTGAGAAGATCAACCTAGAAACATATCAAGGGATTTGATTTGCTTAACCCGATCAAGAAACATGTGCTGGTGGTTACAAGCTAAAGAGTGTTACCTTTTCTTTGCTTCCAGCGCTTCCAACGACATAACAACCCATCAACTTAGCAAACTGTCCCACAAGCTGACCAACAGCACCAGATGCAGCTGACACAAACACAGTCTCTCCTTTCTTCGGTGAACAGATCTCATAAAATCCAGCATATGCTGTCATACCAGGCATACCTGCCAAAGAACAGAGAAAAGTGTAAGGAAGACAATGATGAACTAACACATTGAAGTGAGTAACATTACCAAGAAGGCCAGTGTAGTGGGATAAGGGAACATCAGTATGATGTATCTTGAAGTGAAGATTAGGGATTGGAGTGATAACACTGTACTCTTCCCATCCAACAGCTCCCCAAAGCAAGTCACCTTCTTTGTAATCCGGGTGCCCTGAGTCCATCACTTTAGACACTCCAAACCCTGAGATAGGCTGCACTAACAACACAACCAAACGCTTGAAAAAAGTTACAAAGAAGCAAAGCTAAACCAACTGTTTATAAACAGAGCTTCTTGAAACCAAACAAGAAAACAAAAAAGGTCTGATATGATTAAGACATTTTTGTACCTTGCCGGGAATGAAGGAGAGAGCAGTAGCAGGACTAGAGGGATCAGGCTTTCTCATACGGTTGCGCATGTAAGGATCACAAGACAAGTAGAGATTCTTGACCAAAGCTGTCATTGATCCTGCCGGAACCTTGAGATTGACGGTGGTAGAGTTTATAAGGAGGTCGGATTCACTGAGGAATCCGGTAACGTAGTCTCGGAAGATGACTTGCTTGTTGCTCACTACCATCGTCTCCATTTCTCCAAGATGTTTGGTATTTTCTTGTTATGTTCCCAAACGTTTATATTTCTCAACTTATATAAGCCACAGGTTTAGGAGATAATCAAGAAGTCTAGTATCTTTTTTCTGTAATTTTATTTTTACGGGTTTGCATAGCTAATCAAATCAATTCTCTTCAAACTTTTTATATATCACAACTACAACTTGGGATGTTACAATTTTACCGCTAAACACAAATATAAACCATTTGTAACTCGGTTAGATTATGGATTGGTGTGATAAATTTTCAGTTGGTTCAGTATAGTTTTCAGTTTGAGTTTGGTCTAATATTATAAGAAGTAATTATTTAATTAGTATTACATTTCTTTAACCTTTAGTATTATATATTTAAATGTGATTATATATATCTAGTCTTAATGTGAAAGAAAACGGTTTTGATAAATGGCAATGCAAAACCAATGAAGCTAAAATTAGTTGCATAAGCATTATTTATTGCGCTATATTAGCTGGCGATGCAAACAATGTGTTTACTATGTGATCTTCTTGTCAATAACTGTACCATACCAATTCAGTTACTATTAATAATCTGATTTTTAAGTCTTGCAAAAATAAACAGAAGAAGAGAAGGTTGTCTTTGTATGGACAAATATTTGCAAAGCCTTGAATGCGTATCAGCTTGTAGAGTATGGTGGATTGATTGTGTACAGTCACCTTCGCCTGTCCTAAAGATTGTACTAAAACAGAATACTGTGACAAACAAAATAGACAGCTTGAGACACACGACTCCATAATAGTCTTATAAAACTCTATTTTATAAAATTCACTCTGGGGATAATAATAATTATACAGAGATTTTTAAACACTATAGTTCTGTAAATGTGGATGATAATTACTCATAAATACACAAAAGGAAAGTATGAATATCCGTTTCGCTTGTGCAGCAAGTTTAGAGACATTTGGCTTCAATTTCCTCAAGAGTGAGACCCTTTGTTTCTGGCACAATGAAGTATATGAAGAGCAGAGACAAGACACATATCACACCAAACCCCATAAACAGTATCCCAGCTCCAAACAATTCCTGCAATAACATAGCCATGTCAGCCAAACAAGAAGTCTCCCAATCAACAAAAAAAAAGAGATTTAACATTCTAAACATTTAAAAATTAAGCCAATCACTTATGAAAGGTGTTGCTGCCAAATTTACAGAACTAGCCATTCAAAAAATGCACAAAGAAGTGATATGATCGATGATTTACCTTTAGGGGTGAAAAAGCAAATGTCACGAGAGCGTTTGCACCGAAATTCACAAGTACTGCTAGACTGAGTCCTCGACCTCTTAATATAAGGGGAAATATCTCTGAAATCATCAGCCAACCAATCGGACCAAAGGATAGCTGCAAAGATTAATCACAATAGAAACATATTTGTTATAGAAAATTCCAACATGAGTTTCTTGAGAAAGTCCATGTTACTTATAGGACAAAACATTAACTTAGTGGAATACAAATTTGTTTACCTGGTAACAACCCACATAGAGCAGCAGTGCAACCACGGCAACAACTGGTGCGGCGCTGAAAAAGATGTAATATGACCCCAGCAGGAATAATGAGACAACCTGTTTTGACATTTGAAAGTTTACAAGTGGGCCTGTTTGACATTAATAATCACAACTAAAGAAATTGGGAGCATTTTAAGTTCTCTATCTCATTGGTTGTTCATTGAGTTCAATATTTAATGAGCTTTAATATATATATATCTATATTAGTTTTCTTGCCGTAGATTTAGACCAAGCTCACTAAATCTGATGAGAAAAGACAAGGGGTAGGAAAAAAAACAGAAGACATACCATACCACCAACACCACCAAGAAGTAAAGGTCTCCTTCCAAGTCTGTCAATAACCACAACAGCTGCTCCTGTCATGATCAACTGCAACAGAGACGAGCGTTATTTCTTAGAAACTTTGCAGCCAGGGTTCCATCAACAACTGTCACTATTTTATTTCACCAATGAAGTCTCTTACAATGTTACAAGCTTACTTAAAGATCTAACACAGTTATAACTCTCATTATGTATTGACACTACTTCTAACAGAGGCTGCACAAGAAGTGCATATATTTTATTATATTGCTAAAAGTTACTACTTCTAGCCAGGTCAAAAAAACTGAATACCTTCAATAGACCAAGTAGAATTGAGACCCTTGTTGCATCACCTGCGGCAGAGAATCCAGCGGTCTAACAGTAAAAGAAGTTAAAAATCCTCTCGTGAAATACAAAAGTGCAAAACATTACACACTACATAAAGTTAATTTAAAGAAGTAAAAAAAATACCTGCAGTATTGATGGTGCATAATAAAGAACACTTGGTTGCCCAGTTATCTACCATTTAACAAAGGATACATTATTAGTGTTATTACTCTTCTAAGCAAAAGTGATGATTAAGTTTGACTATAACCAACCTGCTGAAACAAGACTAGACCTCCTCCTATGATGAGAGCTTTCTTGCACTTCCCTTGAAACAATTCACCAAACGTAGCTTCTTTATCTTCTCCCACAAAACAAAGTTCAGCCAAAATCTCGTTTACTTGTTCAGCAGCTGAATCAACAAAAGCAGGACCTCTAAGGCGGCAAAGAGATTTGATTGCAGCCTCCTTTTGGTTCTCCACATTCCCTTTTCCTTGTATGACACGCAACAAAAGCCACCTAGGAGATGCTGGGAGCCACCACATCCCTATTCCCATAATCACTGCCAATGGAATACTCATTGCATACATGTAACGCCAACCAGATAGAGTATTCACTGTAAGACTACCGATTCCATAACCTCCCTGCACAAAATTGTTGAAAAATCAGAATTTCAAAAAGGAGAGGAGTAACTCAACGGCTTTCACACAGAGTGATAGATAAACGTTTACTTCAGGAACTTACAACCATCCCAAGGACTATGAAAAACTCCTTGAGTGATACTAGCTGTCCACGTATCTGACTTGGAGCAGTCTCTGCAATGTACATTGGAGCCGCATGCATTGCCTAAAAGTACATAGCATGCTTGCTTAAACAAGTTTCAGAAGCTAAACAGTAAAGAAAATGATCTAGTCTTACCAATCCAACTCCAACCCCATAAATTACACGTCCAATTATCAGAAGAGAAAAGATTGGTGCTAGTGTAATAGCAATGGCTCCAACGAGGAAAAAGAATGCAGCCAGAATCAGCTCCTTTCTTCTTCCTTCAAAATTTCAAAATCCAACACTTAAATCTTCTTATGTCTGCCCGGTGAAGTAAGTAGAAAAGAAACCAACCTATAACATCAGCAATACTAAAAGCCACAGCTGAGCCAACTAATGCACCATAAAGTGAGCCACTTGTCTGCAGAAGAACATTTTAACAAGGGTTCGTAAGCAGATTTGTCCTTGTTTAAGGAGACAGCACCATAATAGAGGATTTGCAATTACAAGCATGAAGAAGAAGCAGGAAAGATAATTTTGGAGACTTACAACTAGACCAACATCCAATGAGGACAAGTTGTACCATGAAATTCCACTTAATGAAGGCGACTGCAAGAGAGGAAAGCAAAGTCATAGGTATCTAAGAGAATGTCAACAATCGAAATAGTGAACTTGCATGTGAAGAGAGTATACAGGAGAAAATGGGTTGAAAAGTGTGAAATATTATGATATAGTTTTATTATCTCAATCTTATGTCCAGAGTTCTATACTAATTAGTAATTAGTCTACAAAAATGGTAACTAGAGACTTCTCAAAACCATAACAAAACTTTAGGAGTACATAGTTTCAGAGAAGTTAAAACTTTTACCTGAAGTGAAATGGTTGCACATGAAGTTGCACCGATCTCATAACCATAAAGGAGTCCTCCCAGAGCTGGAAAGAGAAACCTAATAACGAAACAAAAACATCTTCACATGAAAGAACATATGCAAACACGTGCGCTGCGCCGCTACCATTATATTTAAACATACTTAACAATAACCAAACACATGAGTCTGGATTCATTTCATTACAGTCATTTTCAAGACAGCTTATGGTGAGAAGAAAAATGATAATACGAAAGCAGGCTCCAGTTGTCAAAGATGTTTTGTCATAATTATTTATATATAAAAAAAAAGATGTGGAGAAGAGATGAGAAATCTCACGGGAAGATGGCTGCAAAAACAGAGTAGTTTTCTGGTGTATGATTATCTTTAATAAGAGGCTCCCTTTCTGAGCTAATCTCACCAGATGATTTACCAACCTACAAAAGCATAAGTACTTTCATAAACTTTATGATAAGACCTAAAAAAACAATTACAATGCATGTAAAGCTCTAATCTCATGCTAAGATGATAACTAAAAGGTTTATGGTTAAAAACTGTCTACAAACTCTCAGTTTTTAGTAAGTTTTAGTAAGTTTCAGAAAGTAAATAAAAAATTAACCCGAGGAGGAGATTTTTAAACTGGTAAGTGAAGAATCACGATAATAGGTTTTACCAAAAAAAAAAAAAAGGAAGTGTCAAAAAAAGCAGCGGTGAGACTAATACCTCTACGAAAGTAGAAGAAGTAGGTTGCTGCTGCTCGGGATCAAACGACATAGCTCTGATTTTTTTTTTTTTTTTTTTTTGTTGAGGATGTGCAATGAAAGTCTTGTGGTATAGTGAAATTCAAAGGTATCGAATTGCGAGGAATATATACGCGTGGAGAGGTTGGTGTCGATGAGGATCCGTATAAAGTGTAATAGTAACCGAAGTATATCAACCGTTGGATTGATTCACGAAGAATGGTAGATACCATCAATTAATTTTTAATTGGGATAGAGAAATTGGGGCACTCAATCCAAATTCCAGTGGCCCTAACTTTTATTGGTATGGATAGCAAATGCTTTATTCGTGCTCATATTCAGTGAGCAAAAATGATGAAAAAAACTTTTAAAGAGGTTAAAATTCCTTCTATCTCTAATTTTATAAAGAAAAATAAACGAAATAAAAGATTAAAAAGATAAAAATAAATTTTATAATTTTGAGATATA